ACAATTAATTCGAAACATCGTGATTTATGAATGTACAGTTTTTTTTTGGGGGGGGGGTGTTTATTACAAGTGAAGCGTAAAACATGTAATGTTTTAACTTTTATACCTAATGTAAACTTCACATTTGTAATAGAACTTTAATCTTAGTTTATTTTGCATTTGTATATGTCTTGAAGCATCTAATACGTAAATCAGATCTAATCAAGAGTTACTATATAAATGTCTAATAGTTGGAGATTTCTATATAATCTAAAAGTCTGTAAAAAACAAGGTAAACAAGAACGAATTTTATACTTGTAATGTTTTATGAACGTTAAAAAGAATCCTTAAAATAAAGACTTTATTTTCTCTGTAGATGGCAACATTGAGATGAAGAGCGTCAAGATGACTGACGCAAAACCATAGACTTGAATAACTGCCTAAGAAACGAGTTGTTCATTTGATGGAGAAGGGTTGCAGTTTTTCTCCGTTAGAGCTTCTGAGGCCGTTTGTCAGCTCCTAAACAACAAGAAGTTTCTCTAACCACTTATTACAACCCTGGTTCAGCACCCATGTTTTCAATGGCACTGTCTGTTGCGTGTCCACATACATTCTCTAACTGCTGTATCTCTGCATACACGATAGAAAGGAGCACAATGTGCTATTTTCCCTTTCGAACTGGAATTCTTATCACGCACTCTGGGTTTCAAAGTAATAAAAGACTAGTTCAAAACCTGTTCTCTTCCACAACATGCAATAATAAACGTTCCATAACCTGTATATATAAAATAACAGATATTAGTGTTTAAATCAACCGATTAAAAAATAAGGAAATTGGAAAAATCGAATTTTGTAACTTGTTGAAACGTTATTTATTATATTTGCAGATCCGACAGTAATTGGCTTTATAAACTAACAACAGATATTACACGTTATACAAATGTGAGTTAATTGACGTAAATTCTATTTCGATCTTAAATTTTGTTTAGCTATAATAAGATGTGTCGATAAGCGTTCCAGATGTTGTACAAATATTTTTATTCGTATTAATGTAAATACATATATTCACAGAGAAATAGATGTGAGTTTTAGTATTTTTTTTCTATTACATTCGAATGGTAGTTCATTACTGCTTCATTAATCTTATATTCAAACTTTTTTCATAACAAACTATTTTCGGTTAAAAAAAAACACGAAAATATAGCGAAAGTTGAAATAATTAATTTATAAAGTTAGACTTTTGTGTATCATAAGAATACAGATTAGGGTTTAAACAAAGGATACATTTAAATGCATCTTTATGGACGAGATATGATGCATATCTATGTACATATTGATTTGAATATAAATCAGTTAGTTGTTATATGGAATTATCAGATGATTTTCAATATAATATAAAAGTTAAGCTTTGTTATTATTTAACATTTACATTTCAAGTGAATACATTTTTCTAAACAATGGAAACATAATTATCATAAAAATATATAAAGAACATCAATAAAATAATTTATACTTTTTCAGTGTTTCATAACTAAACAGTGTCATTTTGTATTTAAGTGCAGGTTTTCATTTAGTATAAATATGATGAAAAACGTTATATTAATTTAGGAAAAATATTATTTTTAACCTTTACTGCAAACTACTGTTCTTGCATTATTTCTCGTTAGAAATGAACTTAAAAGTAAACCACTATTTTTAGTTAATTTAGTGGATAGCCTATGCATTTATAGTACATATTATTTTGATCTTATATATTGATAACTATGTGATCATGCACAGTTCAGTAAATATTAATTTGTTCATAAAATACTTAGATATTTTACTTTTATCTGATTTATTAATTAGCACGTTTAACGTACATACACCATTCGTCTCCAGAATGACCAGCGTTCATGGGACAGTTTGAGTGTTTTACAACAAAAGTCTTAATATTGTTATAAAATAAAAGCATTTAAGTTGAAACAGATGGTGTAAATGTGTGAAAAAATCTCCGTAAAAATAATCATTGTAGTTGCACAGCATCATTATAACAGTAAACAATAATAATTCTGTTGTTGAAGGACTATAACGTTTGTATTGATTTGTTTAAAAATTGGTATTTTCATCTTCATATTATATGCAGTTCTAGGATTAAGGAAGTCTGATAATTTACTGGGTTATTATTAGGTTTCTACGGTTTATCTACAGTTTTATCCTATGTATTTTCGAAATACCACGAATGAATGCTTAATGTTCTAAAATAAAATGAGATAATAATAAACATTTGTAATGAATTATATTAAGATTCACTTTTGCTCTTTAATGATGAGATACGCGTGTAACATTAAGTCAAGTCATATTATTGACGTTTTAAAGTGAAGTGTTATGTTTAATTCTTAGCTTTTTAAATGGTAATATCCTCTGGAATTAAAATAAATATTTAATACAATATAATATCGCCTCATGAATGGCAAAAATATTAGCTAATTAAACCTTTTTTTGTGAAAACTAATGTGTAAAAATATGCTTTTTTACGAGTACTTTTAAAATTTGTTATTAATGGGTTGTTAACCATGATAATTTTTGATTTGTAAATAAATAAATAAATATTACATATATGTGTGCACTGAGAACCTAGATCTGTAATCCTTAACTCTATAAATAAAATTATGTTTATTTCCCAACACAACAAATAATTCTACTTCGAAACAAAAGAAAGTTATAATAGACGCCCACAAACAAACACAAATCAAATATGAATACTGACTAAGGTCAAATATGAGAAAGTAATTGAAAGAACGGAAACAATGTACGACGAATAAAGTTTGGTGATCTCGAGTAATTAATTATTTTGTATCTTTCTTGAAAGTCAGTTCTTTTGATTTAACGGATACATATTTTTTATCGTTTTTTTCCCGCTCTTTCTTCTTAGATTCAAAGTTTATTATTGATTAATTTCCTGTAAATTTTATTGACTAACTTATAAAGGTATATGTAAGCCTACTTTACTAAAATTCCATAGTTCAGGTCTAGATCGATTTGTTTTCACTTGTTATCAACAGCGGAAATTTATAATGTACCGATAAATTAACATAAACTCATCACATGATGAATATACTCTAGAAAACTTCCATAGTAGGGTATCAGAAAAACAATTATCACATTTTAACCTAAATATCAAATAAATATTAAGTGTCTTGTAGTGTTGAAACTTAGTCGATTAAATAATGAAACTATAAAAATAACAATAAATAACGAATACTTGGAAATGTTTTCTTCTTCTTTAATGAAATAATTCAGTGATGGATGTTTAACATGTTTTAACTGTTTAGGGAAAAGGAATAAAAAAAATTCTATATTAGTCATTTGTTGGTATAATCCACAAAATGTAAGTTTTGTCCCTTTGTTTTCTGATAAAAAGTTGATTACATCGAAGTGTTCCAGTCTTCTAAAAGTAGATTAGGGTTATGTAGGCCTATGTAAAGGTTATCTGATACTCTGTGACATGACAACTACATCTGTTCATTAGCCAGAATCGAAGGGATTATCAGTCCCTTGGTGTTCTAGCAAAACAGTTGCAACGTTTCGGTAAGATGTCAGTACTTCTAAAACAAGAGGTAATTATGTACCTTGAAGTATTTTACAGAGAATGTAACAACACTGTTAAGGTGATGTTTAAGTTAACAATGTTACAACATACAGAACATTATTACCTACTTGAATTGTTTAGAAAGAAGGAGTATTCTTGGCAGAACGACAATCATTGATACGGTATTCTAGTAAAACCATCTGAGAAGAAGAATATTTATCGTGGCAGACAGAGCATAGTTAAAACATGGCATGGTTGTTAACACATGACGCAGCTGTCGTTAAAATAAACATAGATAGTCCGTAACACAGCTTTTGTTAAAATAAACATAGATATCCTAGACCGTTCATGGTGCAGCTTTCGTTAAAATAAAGAAGGACTGTTCGTGGTGCAGCTTTCGTTAAAAATAAACATAGATAGTCCGTAACACAGTTTTTGTTAAAATAAACATAGATAGCCCATGGTGCAGTTTTCGTCAAAATAAAGATGGACTTTTCATGGTGCAGCTTTCGTTAAAATAAACATACATAGCCCATTGTGCAGCTTTCGTTAAAATAAAGATGGACTTTTCATAGTGCAGCTTTTGTTAAAATATACATAGATAGTCCATGGTGCAGCTTTCGTTAGAATAAACACAGATAGCCCATGGTACAACCGTTGTTAAAATAAAGATAGATATCCCATGGTGCAGCTTTCATTAAAATAAAAATAGATTTCGCATGGTGTACCTTTCGTTGAAATCAACATAGAAAGCCCATGGTGCAGCCTCTTGTTAAAATAAAGATAGAAAGCCCATGGTGCAGCCTCTTGTTCAAATAAACATACAAAACCAATAACCTAAATAGGTGAGTTGCAAAACTCAAAATGGAATGTAAGACGCTTAGAAATTTCAGCACGCAAAACTTTTAGGATAGTGCCACCTAGAGAAAATAGAAACTAAAACATCAAAGCACAGCGCTCCTGACAAAGATAGAAAACTCTGAAGACTTTATATGAATCGGTTGAAAATTTAAATGACATTTATTTTATTTAACAATTGATTCAACGTACAGACTGTCAGTAAACATTGAACTGAATCAAACCAGTTTATAATTTGTATTTGTAGTGACCTCAACTGGCAATTACATAACATTTAGGAATTATATACATAAGACTTAATATAAATAAGAGTAAAATTTTACACACTTTGCTAAATTGTTAGCATGTTAAAATACACAGGAAATACTCTTTGTATGAACTAAATTTCGCTATTGCCATCTAGTGAACAGTTAACACATTATTTGCCACATGTAAATCACGACTTATAACTTCTATAAAACAAATAGAAAATACCTTAGTGCCCACTTCATTTCTAACTCACACGACTAACGTCTGTTTGTAATTGAAACAACAATAAAATATAAATTTTCTCTTTGTAAACTAGTATTGTATAATCTCTTATCAGAGTCCTTAAGCGAATTATTTTTCCCAAGTGTCGGTTATCTTGAAATCTAAGACTTGAACTCGAGTACTGCTCTTCAACGCCTTAATAAAAATGCACGATTTCACTGCCCTCTGTGATCTGATTATGTACCTTTGTACTATCGAACAACGATCCTATAATAAATACAATGATGTTTACAATATATTGAGGACAACGGTACTAATAAACAATACAAATAACACACATGCCTTAGAGAGTATTATTACATTATTCAGACTTTTGAAATGATTCTTGACGTAGATGGGTAAAAAAATATTATTTGCTAGGCAGAGGTCTTGAAGTAAACGAAAATATTTTGTGTGAGTAATGACTGTAACTGGTGTTATACAGATTTCATCAGTTATTCATTTAATAACATAATTGTAAGGTAGAAATTAAGAAGTGATTTTCCCATTCTTTTGTTTTTTCCTCGGTTCAAATTTGGTCTTTAATATTAATCAATAATGGAATGAATAATATTTAGTAGATATAGATAGAAGTTATGACAATATCGGCTCTTTTTCTATCCTTTAAAAACAACGTATGCAGAATATACTGTGAATTTCTTTTCAAACTTATAAAGTATTTATTTATTTTTAATTAAGCACCGTATCATTTCTCGTCTCGCAACCAGTGGGTCGCGGGTTCAATCCCTGCCGCCGAACATGCCCACCCTTTCAGCCGTGGAGTCGTTATAATGTGACGGTTAAAAGAATAGCCCAAGAGGTGGCGGTGGATGGTGTTATCTAACTGCATTCCCTATAGTCTATCGCTGCTAAATTAGGGAGGCTAGTGCAGATAGCCCTCGTGTAGCTTTGCGCGAAATATAAACCAAAACCGAAACTGAC